AAAAAAAAAAAAAAAAAAAAAAAAAAAAAAAAGAAACACTTTCCAGCTACAAGTTGAGTACTCCATAAGAAGATGCTTCATCCTTGATATAAGATACACACGTATATAGAGGATCAATAGCATATATATCACAAGAAAGCTCTCTGTAAGCGAGAATAGAAAGATTAACCTTAATGCATATTACTGAAGTTCAAACAATAGGCAAAACTGTAATTCTTTAATTAATATAACTAGCAAACATATGTTCTACGGTTATTTCATTCTTCCAGTCATAAAACAACAACATTAATCAACCTTTGTGGTCCCACGCTGAGCAAAGAAGAAATGAACCAAGCTCTTGCAAGTGTCTGATGTCAGCAGAACTTGAAAAGCTTCAGCTTCCTGATAAAACAACGAGATTCACATATAATACTATACTACACAAGAAAGAAAGAAAAATCAAGCAACTCAAATGTCAAGATTTTAAACAATGGGAACACAGATCAACCTTCCAAAGACCCGCACGAGCACCAGAAACTATACCCTCCTCAATAACATCAATGCAAACCAATGGGTGATTGACGTTCGGAGCCCGTATACGAGTCTGGGCCCGAGCAAACTTCAGTATTTCCCTTGCCTCTCCTAGAGGCTCCAGCTTTTCAGTCTTGTAGTAACCGATAACCCAAGGTCTTCTACGCTCCAAAATATCAAGTGCCCATTGACGGGCGGTGCTCAAAAGTTCATTTGGCGAGGCAAGCGCATCAACAAGGCCCAAACTTAAGGCCTCCTCCCCTTTTACAGGCTTTGATGTCTATTCAAGAGAGAGGACATTAAATGAGATTCACACTACGAGCAAAGGGACAGCGAACAGGGGAAAAAAGGAGGAACACATAAAATAAGATTTAGAGTAAACATGCAGAGAAAACAAAAACCAACAAAAACAGAAAGAATGGGAGTAGGTTAAATATTAAAAACTCAAGCTTACCAGCATCATTTCAAGGGCCTTGGCAATACCTACAAGACGTGGAAGCGCCTGTGTGCCTGGAATAAATAGATGACTATGAGATAAAACACACATACCCAAAAAAAAAAAAAAAA